TCTCTCCCCAACTTCTTGAACTCTTAAAAGTATCAGCTGTTGGCCAACTCTATGGCCCTACTATTGCTTCCGTGGTTGCCAGTATGGTACAACAACTCGGCATTCTGCTGTGGGTTATCTATCGCCTTCCCTTACTTTAGAATCCTCTAAATCCAGCCAATCAGGTCTGCTGGCACTCTTGCTAAGTCCCTATATAGTAATGCAGATTGTAAACTAGAGTTTCAAGATACGTCAAAAACCATGGTCTTCTTAGTCTCGTCATTCTCTTAAAGCTCATTACATATGAGAAAGTGAGTTGTATTTCATCCTCTGGCCTAACTCCTGATGATAACAATTTCTGTTTGAAGAGCTTGTCTAGAATAGTAACTTACCTAAAGACATACGCGTGATAAAGTGTAATACTTTCACATTTAAAAACAAAAGAAAAAGAAGAATGAAAAAGAATCCTCACTATTTCTGCATATTCATCTGGCTTTCACTGCAGCACCAAAGTCAGTGCAGACACGCTTACTGACAGCTGGATTACTCCAGGTCTGGCAAAAGAGCGTGAGTCAACACTTCTGTTGAATTTCTCCGCAGCACTTTGAATGTATATTTAATGTGTATCATAAAAGTGTGTGCAGATTGCTTGAGGCCTTCTGTCATTAAAGGCTCAACTGCTTGGCATTAGCCTATCACACTTTTCCTCAGATATAATTGAAAAAGGTTTTAGCAGTGTATGAGCATATGTAATGCTCATCATTTCTATTAGTACTGTAATTAAGTCAGCTTTCTAGTCAGAACGCTCCTAAAATCTTAAGTAATATGATTAGAACAAAATAGAATGCAACCCTCGGATGTGTGAGGCACAATTAGGTAGTTACTTTCTGATAATGTTTTGCTGGATGGATGACTTTGTTTTGTAGGTAGCTAGTTCTGCATCTGAGTGAGGAGTCTGATGGAGCTGGAATTTTCCAAATTTTGTGATTCCAGCCAAGCTAGTTTTCATTGTTATTAACAGAGGAACCACATTTCCTCTATCAGATCTATTTTAGAAATTTAAATCCATGACACCATTTCCTGCAGAAAAATGACAGCATATTCCATCTGCGAACAAGCAGGGAAATGACTGTAAATAAATCAAGAAAAATTTCCCTGATGTTTATTAATGGAGAGGATTAAATTCATTGTCTCTCTCTGTCTCTGTCTCTTTCTCTCCCTCCCTCTCCTCTCTCCTGCTGTCTCTCTTTCCTCAATACTGGCAATTGAGTAAGCAAGTTCTCCTCCACTGAACTACATCCCATCCCCTTTTTAATTTTATGTTATAGCAGGGTCTTGCTAGGTTGTGAGGCTGGGCTCAAACTTGTGATACTCCTGCATCCACCCTCTAAAGAACGGGATTTCAGGCATGTGCCTTTTTGCTCAGCTTCCTTATTTTGAGATTATATTAAAGTCACAGCAGAAACCGCAGTTTGGGGGCGATGGGAGTGGCCCTTTGTGCACCATTGGGTCAGAGCAGAAAAAATACTTTGCATGATTCCCTGGTAGCAACATCTTGCATCACTTTATTCTAGAAAATGCCATTGGGGTCAGGTGGACAGTCTACTTAGAGCAGGTATGCAGAGTGCAGGTTGGGAGGTCTCCAGGCTCGACATGAGTGATATGGGACTTCAAATGGTTCAAATCACCCTTGGAAATTTAAGTATACATCTGTAAAGCTATTTTTTGTCCTGCATCAAAAACTTTAATCTTAGATCTTTCTGGATCTCTCTTCCCAAAACCCCCTTAATAAAACAACAACTGTAATAATAACAATTTTAAAAAGTAACTAGGTGCTTTAGTGCCTGCTATGTGGCAGCCTCTGTGCTATGTGATTTCCTATATTAGTTCTCATCTTTACACTGCTCTTAGAAAATAGAGTCTGATGACATTACATGGCTTCCTGAAGGTCACACTGATCATCAAAGCCTGGAGGGTAGGATCTGCACCCAAAACATCAAGATCTCTGTGCTATAACCAGACCCAGGCTGCTTACTGCTGGAAATCCAATATTCAGGAAACAAAAGCTGGTGGGCAGTAAGCCAGTACCTTGCAAAATTTGGGAAAGGCGTGTGCTGTCATCCGTGAAGAAAACATCTTGGAGAACTCAGGCACACAAAAGAGATTTTATGAGGATGTGTAGAGGCAGTAGACAGGAATGCTCAATTCTGGGTGGGATCTTCAGGGTTCAGGGCATATGCCTCTTCTCTCCCCCCGCCCCATCTTTAGCCAGAATATCGCAATGTTCCTCAACCTCTTGGGGCTAGTTCCTTTAGTTCTTTAGACAGATATGCTATTTTTCTGCAGGTTACACTGACAGCAATGTACATGCTTTTTAGTACTTAATGCACAGAATTAAAGATGAAAGAGAAACATTACATAAGCTGAATGTCACCAGACATGCTGGGTTTAGTAAATCTCAAGAAAAATTTTTTAACATTTGTACTCATCAGTTTTCCGTTACTGTGACAAAATACTTGAGAAAATCAATATAAAGGCAAGAAAGATTTTTTTGGCTTATAGTTGCCAATATTTCAGTCCACAATCAGCTGGCTGCATTGTTTCTAGGCGTGTGGTGAGGCAGATCTGCCACGGCAGAATGAGGTAGTGGAGCAAAGCTCCTGGCCTTGGTAGCTAAAAGTAGAGAGAAAGAGAAAGGAGCAGGCCAGGGCGATGACGGACCTTTCAAGGACACTCCCCCAGTGGCCTCGCTCTCACCAGGTCCAACTGTCTAGAGTTTGCTTCCGTCACATACCCATTACAGTGTGTTCAGCCTGCTGCCCATGTTTTGAACAACAGGAGGGGAAACAACCTCATAAAAGACAAACTGAAATAGAGTAGCCTCTGTCACAGGCTGGCTCCGTCTCAGGGTGGGGCTGAAGATGGGGTGAGCGTTACCGCACATGCTCGTGAAACGAATTCAGATGAGTTTACGGCCACATTCTCCTTACGCTTGTCACTCTGCTCTTTTATGGTCTTTAAGTAACACAAAAAGATCTATTATATCATTACAGTTCATTTTTCTCATAATTGTATTCTGGGTGGATGCAATCGACAAATTATCGAGCTTCTCTCGTCTCCCTGACATTCTTATGTAGTTTTGAAATGCGTTTTAGATTAAAATTTCTCTCATAAAAAGCAGTGCTGTGACTTTTCAATGAGAATCTGCTCAACTCCCCACCCCCACTGCAAACACCAATTTGCCCACAACACAGATAGAAAATAAGCAAATATATGGTGGGACACTCGTCCACTTTACAGGTCAGATTGATGCAAAGCTTCCAAAATTGCTGTTTATCAGGCAGCATCCGCCACATCTGACAGTGTGAGACCTTCTTCAGACCAGACGGACAGATCTTGGTACAAGGGACACAACCACGTGTAAATCTCCCCTGAAAAGATCCTTGCAACTGTCTGTTTTCTGAGCCTGCCTTCTGCAAGCCACACTGGCTTTAGTTTGCCATGAAGGATGTTTCTTCCGGCGTTAGACTCCAGTAAGGTAGTAGTGCTTTTGGCTGGTTTCAAAACTGCTCATTGGCTGTATTCTGTCACCTCTTGTGTATGAGAGCTTCAACTTCAGGAACCTGCATGCTTGTTAAATAAGTACTCCAGGGCTGTACCCTAGAGTCTCCGGAGGGTAGAGTTTAGGAATCATTTTTACAAAAGCTCTTCAGGTAATTCTGTTGTACAGACATGGCCTTAGACTAACAAATAGAACTCGTAGTAACCAAGGGCTTCTAGGGCTACAGCAAAACCTTTGGGTCCAACTGTGCCTGCCATAGGGAGCCACAGGGCTGAGTTCACAGGGAGCTGCTTCAGGAGTTCCCAGGGCTCTGGCTCGCTTCCTTCCACAGCTGTTTAAAATGAAGCTTGACTTGCAGCACTGCTGGTCTGCCTGCTCCTGTAAAAAGAAGAGAGGAAGATGGCAGTGGAATTATCCATCGAAGGACTTTTGAGACAGTGACAATGTTTTAGGGAGAGGTTTAGCAAAATTGGTGAAATATCAAGTGACAAGGAGAGGACAGAAATTTTTAAAAATATGGTCATTAAGGGTTTCAAGGCATTAGAACTTTGTAATTTAGTTTGCATCCAAAGAAAAAGAAATGATAACAATTTAAAAAAAGCAAAGTGGTTAGCGCTCAGTAGCATAAATCAAGCAGCTTTACAGCGTGTCCCTTTGTGATAAGAGAAAGATTTGGGCAGTTGTCAATTTAAAGATGCGTTAGTGTTGACAGGTCATTTGCATGCTGATTGGAATGTAGGACACCTTTGCTCTTACAGAGGAGCTTCGTCTCTGTGAAGGGCGTCGTCCACAGAGGGCTGGGCAGAGGGGACTGTGGCGTGTTGGGGACGCCTGTCCCACTGTTGTTACTTAAACAAAGCACCACTCACCCCACACTTTTGGCAGCCACACTATCCTGCCCACAGCGTCAGATGCTCACAGTACTGTCATTTGCTCCCAACTCTTCACTGCTGCACTCCTGGTTATAGAGCCCAGTGGCATTACAGCAGGGTGTGGGGCCAGGCAGAGCTAGCTCTGTGCCCTACATCAGTCGTATATTAGCTTTGTGTGTTCAACCCTCAGTTTGTTCTCCCGTGCAGTGGGAATAAATGTGGCTGGAAAGGTGTCACCATGTACAACAGGGTACAGAAAAATCTTCAGGAGTTTTGACGTAAGAGTCAGCAACAAATGGTCCCCTCCCAGCAGCGTCCCTCAAGAGAGACATTGGTGCAAAAAGAGTAAGTTGTGAACAAGATGGTGTGCTTCACAAGAAGAGTCACCAAGTCCCAGTGTATCCCTCCCACCACCATCTCCTGCCTGCTCCCCAGGGCTGCTTCTCCTTTACACCTCTGTCGTCTCGGAGATAACTCACCCTTTTCTGACGCTGGGCTTACAAGTTGAAAACTAAGCTTCATCTCTCCTTTTACTAGAGATTTCTTTAGCAGAGTCAGCTTGGACTCCAAAGATGCAGGGCTGAATGGAAAGACAGCCAGAGAAACGCCCTTGTGGGTGTGGGTGTGGCTGTGGCTGTGGCTGTGGGTGTGGGTGTGGGTGTGGCTGTCAATGCAGAATGTGTCCCTGGAGATTGCTGGCAGTTTGCACTGCGTGACCACTTTTCTAAGGCTGTGTGTTTGTGTGTGCATGCACACTCACCTGTCAACGCACACACACACACACGCATATGCACTCGAGCACACACACGCACAATGTATTACAATTCAACCCCAGTCGGGGAGCACTTCAGTCTAGGGAGAAGCCTTTTGTCTTCTTAAACTAAAATCTCAGTCACTCAGAGAGGAGTGGTGATGTTATGTGCTAACATTGTGCCCTGGAGTCCACTGGGTCTAGTGCTCACTTCCCGAAGAGGACTCTTTTTGTCTGACAAATGAAAATAATTTCAGTAAAGGTCTATTACTAGCTTGGTGTTTTAGGGCCAAGTTTTGCATTGAAAATTAAACTGTTGTCCTGGCAGATCATTTCTGCATAATTTTCTGTGCATGTGGAGCTGGCTGTCTACAGATCAGCTGGCTTCGTCTTCACTATAATGAGATTCTCTTTTGGTGTGTTTTCGGGACACTCTAGAGACAAAGATCTATATTTTTTTAAGTGCTAGTGCCCGTGAGCAAGACATATATGAGCATTTGTCATCCACTCCCTGCACCACAGCTCAGTCCCAGCTGTGAGGTAAACGTAGAGTACGGTCCCTCTGACCCACTGATTAAATAGGATGTTATTCCGAGGAGCTTCTCAGAACTGATCTTTCTCCCACACATGCCACAGAAGCACAAACCCTGAAACAAATACACCGGCACCATGATTGCTAGGAGAGAGGCAGGTATTCGGGTTTCAAGGTTCCTTGGGAGACAACACGTATCCTGAATGAAGAAGTTGCATTTCAGGTGACAAAGCCAAGCAGCCACCACTCCTCCCTGAAGGTTCTTTCAGCCCCTTGCCGGTTTAGTAGAGAAGCCAGTGCTTCTCTTGTGGCATCAGGTTTTGCGTCTTGGTACATAACGTTTTAAGCAGGGTGCACATTCTTGCCTTCTTACGTTATTACCACTAATAGCTCTAGAAGCGATGCTCTGAGCTTGTAAGTGTCCAAGAGCCACCTTTTTGGTTCTACTATTATTAATTCAAATGGTGAGACCATCCTGTGGAACCCACGCAGGACCCAGGACATCTTCTAAATATCAAGATCCTTGTAAATGTGCAGGCTTTCTCGGCATTCTTCTTGGTGATCAGACTGAGGCACCAGGGATTGTTGGCCAAGTATCTGAAGAAACTGGACGGTTTCTGGAGGTACTGAAGAGCATATTGGTGATGACAGTTGATGACTTCTGTATTGAGAATGTTAGAGTGGTTTTAATCTATGTGATAAACATGTACTCTGCATCTTCTGTGTGTACTGAGCTGGGCGCTGGGGAGCAAGAGTGAGCAAAACAGAAGATCCTGGCCTTCGTGAAGCTTAGCAAATACAGGAAGTGACTCAATTACGTGAAATGGTGCTTCCTAGCGTATACTAAAGGGGTGATAAATCATACTCCTGGGCTGGGAGTGTCACGGAAACTGGTGTAGGCAAATTAAATGGCTTTAAAAGTAACTTGGATGTGAATAACAAACTGACTTCTCCTACTGTTTTGGATGGAGGTATTTTTGTGACATTGTTTGTACTATTATCCCGTGATTTTATTTATCCTTTCATGCTGCTTCTATTAATTTGTAGATAAATTGAATACAGGAACTATACATCATAAATCCCTGGGTCCTCCCCAGCATGGATTCTACTGTGCAGACAGGTAGAGCTCCATGCCTGTACACTAAATGAATTTGTACACCTCCACCAGCAAGAGGCAGGCGTGGCCTCAGGCATGGCTGCTTATACCTGTTTTGAGTGTTTCAGAACTCTGTGTGGCCTGAGTATCATCTTTGAGCTGAAACGGTGACCTTCTGTAACCCTTTGCTGAACAGTTCATAGCAACTATCTCCATGTAGTAGAGATGGGCTATAAGGAAAACTCCTGGAGAGCTTTCTTTTTCCGTGTTTTCTTGGTGGGGAAGTTTGCTTCCTTAGTATAAAAATCTCAGGAGGGATGGTCACTCCAGGCTTAACATTAACCAACTGGCAACAGTTGTCTCACTGTGCATATTTAGCTCTGAAGATTTTTCAGACTTTGTGGTCTGATCCAAGATATTCCAGTTGCTGTGAGGAAATTCTTTGTTATGTTCCTTTAAAATTTAATCTAAGGCTGTTTGTCTTTTTTTGAGGTTAGGCTGGGTTAGAGGCAAACAACCCACTTGATGTCATTAGCAGTGAGCCGGCTCAGGACCTGTCACAGGCCTGCCCTGGTGTTTTCAGCCCTTCTAGACTGTATGAGGGAGGACACAACCACCTGCTCCTCCACCAAACAATAGCTGGCCATGTCCCTTGCTCAGCTTCCAGGACATTTTTGTCCAAGTCTACTCTATTCCGTTTCATTGAATGAGGGGAACAACTGTGTTCAGAAGAGCCTAAGGGACAGGAGGAATTTACTGGAAGCATACAGAGGCTACTGGTAGAAGCTAGGATCTGGAAATGAGCCACCCCCCAGAATGGAGTATAAGCAGGAGCAGTGTGGGCCACTGTGACAGGTGAACCATGTCTCAGGGCTTGGTGCAGTAGACACTGATGTCTCGCGGTTATAAACTCCAGTGGCTAATGGCCAGGTGGGTTAGCCCCATTGGCACATAGTCATTCGGGAGCCCAAGATGACAGAGCTCTGCCGTCCTCATCCTGAGCATCACTGGCATGTCAGCTGACAAAGGATGAGGCAGCAGAAGGTAAAGTAGGCAGCTTTCTGGGTCACCACAGAGGTGGCATCCGTCACTTCTAGCCATGGTCTATCTGTTGGAACCCAGGCTATGGCTTACCTCTAAGGACCTGCCATCTAGCTGTCTGCCCAGTAAGAAGAAGAAGTTATGGAGAACTGTCAGCAACTCTGCCACAACCAGGACACATGGAAATCATCTGGAGCCAGGTCAACCACTTCTTGTATCCTGACAGGGAGCTAGCTGGGTTCCCTTCCATCTGCTCCTTACTGCTCAAAGGAGAAAAGCTACTTGATGCTTTTTTTGTGAAGAGGACAATCTCTTCCTCTCCCTCCCACAGTGGGGCTCACCAGTCCTGCTGTGTGGACACTGTCACTGCTGGGACATGAGCTGTGGTATTCACTGAGGCCCCTGCAGGGATCAGAGGTTATCACATTTTTGCAGGGCTTACTTCAAGCAGCCAATAACAGGCATGTCTGTAAAATACGTGAGGAAAGACAGTTTTCCCAAAAGACTCTGACCTAAATTCTAAGTCAGGCTGTGCGTATTTGCCATTTTTAAAAACAAGAAAAAGAAATTTTAAAAGACAGTTTCCCTCAAATCACATCTGTTCGGTTCTGCCTCAGCACTGGGAGACGTGTGTTCCTTTATCCTCCAGGGAAAGGAGCGGACCATCACCTTCCCTGGTTGCATGGCTTTCCACTTTATTTTCTTCCCAGTGTAGCATTGGACGCAGCTCCCTGTCCTGATGCTTAGCTGCATGATCCTAAGGAATGTGCGGATGAGGCTGGAACTGGCGCACATTTGGAAGTGTATGTATATGTATTTGTGCATTAGAGAGGGAGAGGTGTGTGTGTATGTGTGTGTGTGTGTGTTAGGAACTGCTGGGGAGTGAATATCACGGTTACTCAAATGCTACTGCTTGATACTTGAGACCCCAAAGCTATACCATTCTGCTCACCCTCCCGCAACTGAGATGGGGAAATACGGCCGCCTTCCCACACTGAGGACTCTAACACAGGGGCCCTGTGCAGTGACTGTTTCACAGGTCACATCTCAAATGACGGTACTTGTCAAAGGTGCATCTAGGTGACAGAGCATGTGCCTAGCACGTGTGAGGCCCTGGTTTCAGTCCCCTGGACCAAAAATAGCAATAAAAATAGCAATGACCATAACAGTGTTGAGAAATATGGAATTATTGGTGGGAGTGTACTGCACACAGGCTGAGTGGAATTCTTTCCTTGGGTTCAGGAGAAGAAATTTCAAGGGGAGAAATCAGTGCCCAGCATGCCTGGTGTTTTGCTTCACTGAGAGAGAAGAATTATGTCCTCTGTGTGTGTTGATCACAGAATTAACAACTAAGAAAAGATGCGCTCAGGAAAGGAGTCATTGGTCGATGCTGAAGAGTCTTTTCTTTGTTCTTTGTGCCAGAAGCAAAAGGTTGCTAATTATGATGGAAAGAGAAGTTGACGCCTATGAAGTGTGTCGCTGTGTATCCAAATATCTCTGTGCTGTTATTACTGTGCTCTTCATGCGATAGATGTTATTTAGGAGCACACTCTGTCCTTTTTTCCAAGGACACAATCTAACGGTTGTCTCTTTCTTTTTCTTTTTTGCTATGTTTTTCCAACCTGATGGTGTGCTGCATGCCGTGTTTCAATGAAATTCCATCATTTGTTTCGCATCACAACAAAAAGGTAAGAAACTGCGGATGGCATTAGCACATCCAGGCAACACCAACTTAACAGAACGTGCTGAAGGAGATACCTTTTGATCACTGGGAATGTTTTTCACTTTAAGGAAAAAAATGATTGATTGTCAGGACCTCAATTCTAGTACCAGTGTTTGGTTGATTGATTTCACATCTCCTGAGACTTGGTGTTGAACGAGGTGTGTGTGTGCGTGTGTGTGTGTGTGTGTGTGTGTGTGTGTGTGTATGTGTGTGGTGTGCTAGGGAAGGAGATCCTTGTAGTTAAGAATTTTTTGTAGTTAAGAAGGAGATCTTTGTAGTTAAGAATTCTGAAGTACCTCACATTCTAAATATTAAGGGAAGAAAGGAGAGAGGAGTATCAATACTGCTCTAGGTTCAGATTTTGGAGCAAGAGTACTCTAAACAATAATGAATCCAAATGAGACATGTACCATGCTAGCAAAGAGTCTATTAGACATCTGTCAAATGGGAAAACTTACAGTTTTGTGCTGTTAATCACACCCGCCCACCACATATCCTTTTTCCTTTCTTTGCATATTTTTCTTATGGTAAAAAGCCACACATTAACACTTACACGTCAAGCATTATAAGTGTACAGCTCAGTAGTGTTAGATATATTCAGTGCCGGGGACCAGATCTCCGGAGCCTGTTCATCTGGAATTCTACCCATTAAGCCACTTTCCTTTTCCTCTTCCTTCCAATCCCTGGCAACCTTGGTTCAATTATTTTCATGACTTTAACTATTTTGATACCTCAAGTGGAATTATATAGTGTTTATCTTTATGTGCCTGGCTTAATATGTTTCAGGTTCATGTTTCATGAGCCATGTTTCAGCTTGCAATAGGATTGTTTACTCTTCTGAAAACCTTTATCATTTATTTGGGTTTTTGGGTCAGCGTCTTGCTATGAGGATCAGGCCAGCCTTGAACTCACTTTAAAGACCCAGCTGGCCTTAGACGCACAGTGGTCTCCTGCTTCAGCCTCTGGCTGCTGGGATTACACATGTGCCACTCCATGCCTGGCGTCCTTCCCTTTTTAAGGCTGAACGATATTCTTTTGTGTATATAGCACATCTTATTCTTCCACTCATCTGCTGATGAACACGTAAGTCACTTCCGCCACTTGGCTATCGTACATAAAGGGCAGTGGACACAGGTGTGCTGAAATCCTTGCACATATTTTGACTGGGTTAATTACGTTAGCCTGTATGTGTCTCTTGATGCGAATTTTCATTGTCTCTTATATGATTAGATTTTCACCACAGACGTGCCCTCCAGCCTTAGCGGCTCCTTAGGGAAGAGTATTCATTTTGAGTCTTAGTGACAGGCAGAATCTTAGCGTCTGTCCAGTGGTCCAGCGTCTCTTCTTGTGTACCCTGGTTCTCTTTCCTACAAAGCGCAAGCAGAAAGCTGTGAAACCAATGTGCCCGTCCCTCCCCATAGCCCTCGCACTGAAATGCACCCTCGCACCGTGTCCTTTGCAGCACACGGTGGCAGCTATTTTTGCGATGTATGTCACCCTATGTAAATGATAAGCTTTCGGATTAGCCGTGAATTTACATCTTACTGCATCTTTGTTTGGAAGAGGCTTGTTTTATTGCAGTAATCCCTACTAAGATTAGAGGAACACCAGGTGGACCCTCAGTGGCAGATGGTTCCTGTCTTTTCTTACAGTTCTCTCCTAGGGAACGCAGAATGAGCCATAGATACTGTGGCCTGAACTTGGCTTCTGGAAGGCTGTGAGCAAAGACCTGGCCTATTATGTGCTTGAAGTTTTTATATCAAAAGAAGCATTCTTTTTCCAGGATTCTGTCAGGTGCTTATCTGTGTCTGAGGACAGTGGAAGGCTGGGGGCTGAGGAGAAAAACCTGTGCAGCGTGCGGCAGCGTTTGTGAAAGAGATACAATTCACCTTCACACAGGCAACTAAAAAGAACCATTTTTCGATTTTTCGAAGCATCAGGGCACCAAGAATAGACTTCCTGTGGTTGGGGTGTGGCTCAGTGTAGAGCACGTGCTTGGCATGAGTGAGGTCCTATGCTCAACTCCCAGCAACAGTGAAAAGGATTTGCTTTTTAAATAGCAATGTTGGTGGTTTCAAGAGTGTGTCATAGACTGGATTTTTCAAAGAGAAAACAGACTTGGGCCCTGGAGTCTTCAGGGAATGGATATGTGTGGCAGAGGTTGACCTCCTGTTAGGTCCAAGACAAGAGAAAACAACCTGCAACTCTTCAGCCATAAAATACACCAGCTGAGTGTCACATGCCCTCAGCAGGTGGAGAGGCTATCCCTTAGGATTCCTTATTCAGGACGTTAGTATCAGTGTTACCTTGGGCTTCTGAGTGCCGTTGGGGAGATAGTTTTCTTACCCACGTTTTTGTTCATAAATCTCTGTCCTCTCTGTGGGAAGTTGGCAGTGAGTAATATCATCAGCCGGTCAGGTCCACCTGCAGTGTCCTGGAGATAAGGTGACTTAAGGCTCACTCAGTGTGAGGATCAGAATGTTGGCCGGGAAGAGCAAAGTCAGGGATCTCTTAATGATCATAGTGACATTGGCAAATAGCTTTTCTTGCATGTTATATGGGCCTTTCATGTGTGTATCCAAAAATTAATATAAGTGACAGAATACAGTGAGTTTGCCTTAACAGCTTTATTTTTTACATTAATTTGAAGATAAGTGAGTTTGGACAGTGGATATTTGTTTCATATTTTTATTTTAGTGCACTTTAGTATTTTTACAACTTTTAGTAACTTCTTGTTTTCTTAGTTTTAATTGTAAATTGACAAATTATAGTTTATGAGGTACAATGTGATGTTATAATTTATTAATGTAATATAGAATAATTAATTCAATTACTGTATTGACAGATCTACAATAATGAGGTCATGAATATTTCTGTTTGCAAGCAATTTAGTTTACAAAAAAAAAGCATTTGGCAAAATTTTGCTTCCATTCCCAAACTCCATATTAGGTAGCAAACGTGACCATGATCATCTTCCTGACAGCAACACAGGCTCAACCGTCTTCCCATAAAGTGTAAAACAAACTAAGTTTGTAAACCAAGGTACCATTATATTGCCTGAAATACTAATCATTTTGGGGATGAGAACATTTGAAATTTATTTGCAGTTTTGAATGTGGACAATATAGTAGCATTTACCATGTTCCTCATGTTTTGCAGTATAACTCCATGAAGTAAAACCTGTTCTGTGTATTTAATTGAGATTTTGTCCCCTTTGACTATCACCTTCCCGCATCCCCCACCCAGAAGCCTCTGCACTCACCCTTGGGTCTACGCTTCTGTGAGTTCCGTTGTCTTAAGTGGCATGCGTAAGTGAGAATGTGGGTGTTTATCTTTCTGTGCCTGGTCTATTTCACTTAGCATAATGTTCTACAGTTTTGTTCATGTCACAAATGACAACATTTCTTTCTTTTTAAAGACTGAACTATATTCCATTGTATATCTATCATATTTTCTTTATCCATTCATCAGTTGATGGACCCTCAGGTTGGACACATAACTGGGCCATTTCAAACAGTGCTGCCTTATACATGGGACAGCAGACATCTTTTCTTCTTAGTGAAGTAAAATATTTGGGGTAAATTACCAAACAGTAGAATTCCTGGGGCACATGGCATTTCTATTTTTAGTGTTTTGAGGAACCTTCATTTACTTTGCTATAATGGCTGTAATAATTTACTTTCTCACTATTTATGGAAGAGAGTTTTTCTCTTCATATTTCAATGCACTTTGTATTGAACTTGAAAAGTAATATATAGTGGTATCAGTAGGGGAAATGGGACTGTTGAGGAAGGATATTGTTTGAGGCATCATACCATTTTACTGGTAGCTATTCAGATTTCTGAAAACTGGAAAAATAGAAACAAATGTACGGTGGTTGTGACAGGGAACTGAGTTAGATTTCAGCCAGAGACAAGTTTTAGGCATTGGGCTGCGGGCGGAGAAAGATCAGGTGCAAGAGATGGAGGCAATCACGCTTGGAGAAAACACACAGAGGATAACAAAAGAAGAGGCATCCAAAGAGACCAGAATGAACCACCAGAGGGTAAGGGCAAGCAGAGGGACCCATGCCTGGGCCCCACACGGGGCCTTTGCAGGTGCATACAGTGACCAGCCCCAAAAGGCCTCAACCCTGAGACAAGGTGCCAGAGCCCTGGTAGCTTTCAAAACTACACCACTGAATAAACCCTTTCTCAAAAGAGTTAAATCCAAATGCAGTCGGTGGGGCTTCTCAGACATGGCTTATTTTGAAAGCCTCTCTAAACCATTCTGTTTCCCATGTAGTGTTCAGAACGACTGGTCAAGAAGGGGCAGAAGTTCTAATGAATGCACCATTTTTTGGACATGTGCAGTGTTTCATTCAGCAGCATCGCGATGGTAGAGGGAAGCCAGACTGGGGAAGGGGGGGGAGGATGAGTGAAACTGTGGAGCCCGTTTGTTGGTGGGGAGCACAGGGTTGAGGATTTGGCAGGAAAGGGAAGGTGTGAGATGGAAGACTGAGAGGAGTAATTGCAGGGCGGACAAGGGCTTTGTTTTGTTTTAAGAGATAATAACATGCTAAAGAAGCTGCTCATTAAAGAGAGAGAGCATGATTGTAGAAAGAGGTAACATAAAAGTGGGCCAGGCCGGCAGATGATCTAGAGCTCACGGGAGGGAGGGGAGAGGGGCTTCTTTCATTAGTGAGAAACACAGAGGTGCTTGGGAGTGGGAGGGAGGCAGTGGCTGAGTCACACACAGAACCGGGGCCTCCTTCTCTGGGGTGCAGGAAAAGCCCCTCTGGTGAAATGGGCCTGGTTACTAAGCGAAGCTGGGATTCGAGCCGCAGAGGAAATGGGCTGGACCAGTTCCTGCAGGGTCCAGGTTAGGAGGCCACGAGACATCCATGAAGCGATGGCTGAGTGGTGTGGACGCGTCTCTACTGGGCCACCTGTGAATGTGGAATTGGCCAGCTCTTCAGAGATTTGTTCTCTCCCGATCTCAGCAACCTGTGAGCCCCAGAAAGTAGTGGGCAGAAGAGGTGGTTGGGAGGGGCTTCCCCTGGGAACTGGCGGGAAGGGTTAGGAGGCCACAGGGCAGTGCAGGAGTCTCAGCTCTAGAAGGGCGGCTTCCCAATCATGACAAGAGAGGTACAGTAGGTCCAGGAAGAGTAGCTGAGTGCACAGGAAGGCCGTGTGAGGTAGCAGATGTGAAGGCACAGAGCAGAGGGTGTCTAAGGGAGGGTCAAGGCTGCCTTTGGTCGGCAGAAGACAGCTCTGAGGACGAAGAGAAGGTTAGACGGTGTATTGGACAGTCAAGTGTCAACTGGGTCTAGGGTGAAAAGGAAAAATCGAAACAGTACAAAATAGAAAGTAGTTTAATGATCCCCAAACAGTATACTAGAGAGAAGTTGTAGGCGAAATAAAGCCCCCTTTAAAGAAAAGATGGGAGGTTAAGCAGTGGTAATAGTTTCTTTCCTCTTCAAGACCAGCAAATCAAAAAGTATGAGTAAAATATAGAAATAGCTTAAATAACATGAATATTTTATTTTCCTTGTGTTATCTGGAAACCCAGCTATTTATTGACCATTAAAAGAAGACAGTTATGGACTTGGTCGTATGTTATTTTAAAATAGAAACTCTGAAAATATATTTGTTAAAAGATGCTACTTGACACGAATTCTCCATTTTGCTCTTGGTCTTGGCAGAAAGAAAGAAAGAAAGAAAGAAAGAAAGAAAGAAAGAAAGAAAGAAAGAAAGAAAAAGAAAGAAAGAAATAACATTATGTACAAACATTAATTACTCATTAATCTGACATTTTGATGGCATTAAGCAACAAATATTAATTTGAGACTCAACATTGTGATTGTTTTTAAGATGTATGACATCTTGGAAAACATGAAATCAGCATTTCAAAATTACTTTCTTCAAAGAACGATTGTAACAAAATACATTATTAGAACCTTCTGTACCTTAAAAGCTTTCACTGAAACACCGCAATTTACAGAATTCATTACTGTGCACAACTAATTAGAACTTTAAAGGAAGTCACAGTAGGGAATTAGACATTTTCAAGAGCACTGCCTGATGCTGAAATGTACTTCGGGACAAATGTCATTTTGCAGCAAACAACGCCTTTGGATCTTACATACGTATATGGATGCACGCTCCGGAGAGCAGCCTGTCTGACAGGTCATGTTTAGAAACCCTTCTTGTTCTCGTGCAGACAAAAAGAAACGCAACAAAGACGGAAAGGGAGGGATGGGACAGAAACGCAAATTAGATGTCCATAGCATACTCAGGAAGCCAAACAAAAAACGCAGACATATCTAATTAGTTTCCAAAGCCAGCTTTACCCTCTGAAAAAAAAAAGAAATCCTCATCTAAAAAACCAGCACTGATTGCTGCCGGAGTCCCAGGTGTAGGGGTGGTTACAGGAGAGAGAGAGAGAGAGAGAGAGAGAGAGAGAGAGAGAGAGAGAGAGAGAGAGAGAGAGAGAGAGAGAGAGAGAAGGAGCCACTGTTGTTCGAGTCAGCTGCCTTTGTGCTGAACAAATGTGTTTACAGAAAGAACATAAAATCGACCATGGATAGCTCCCTCCCAGTCCCTAGATTGATTAATTTCTAGACGTGCTGGCAGATTTTTCCATGGACGGGGATCGGGTTTGAGAGACAAATGTATAAATCAACAGCAGGTGGGAAGTTGAATTTGTCTAGCCCAGCTGCCGTGCCCTGCATTGCCTATTCTTTTTGGTTATCGTAGTCCAGCATCTGTCATGGAGTGGGACTCATGGGCTTCTGTCATCTTGGGCCTGGGGAGCCACAGTGGTGCCTGTTGTTTTGCGACAGCTCAGTGCCCTGGAATAGCAAACAAGAAGACGGTCCTTTTCTCCTAGCAGATCTGACAGAGTTGAGCTGTTATTTTCTGGTATTACATTCTGACATCTCTCCTTATAGTGACGCCTGCTTTCACCCCACCTTGAGTTTGGGTACTGTAACATGCAAGCTCTTTTACAACACCTGCCTCCTTGGTTTTACTGCATAAATAACATTCTAATATCTGCATGTTTTCTTTATATTTTAATCTAGGTGATGGTACACAGAGGTTAAAAAATTAACCTGCTTTCTTGCCCCTTAGATTAAGTTCTGCAGAAACTATGTATTTTCCACACGCTCCAGAAACGTGTGGCCTTTAATCACCCAGCTGCCCCACATTTTCAGCATTTCTGAATAGCATACAGTTTCACTGTTGGGTGTGACCCTCAGAGGTCATGTGCTCTAGTCCTCGGTGTAGAGATCCTTCTGCCCCACCCTTCAGATGGGCACCCCTACTTTGCCTGCCATGGGACCATGAGTTTACTGTGATTCTCAGGCAAGTGGCAGCTGTCTTTCTCCTCACACTTCACCACTTGAGGCATTGTTCCCAGAAGGCTTAGCCTCTCTTTCTTGAATAATAGCGAGGGTTGCTCTTTCTCCCAGGCTTTTTTTGAACAGCAGCCCAACTGGCATCTCAAACACTTATCTTCAAAAGTACAGTTACCAATGCCACTTAGGAATGTTCCCCCAAAATATGGACTGATTATTGCAGGCAGAAAGGAAGTCAGATCTTTGTGTGATTTTTATTGTAAAAGAGATGAATGAAATTATTTTAAGTTTGTTATGGCACCAACACATGTTCCCTGCTACTTAGAGGATATGATCACTGAACTATTTAGCTCGTGTGTATTTTTTGCGTTCACCATTTGGGCAGTGATTTCCTCCATTTGTTTCCACTTGAAGTTCTTTTAAAGAAGAATCTAATTTCTAATAACAGCTGAAATTGTTTAGGGAATTACTCTTTCTCATCTGCTTAGGTTGCAAGAAACATTTAATATTCAGCGTGTCCTGTTGCCAATTTGTTACATGTCAATGCCTCCCACCTCTTCATGCACACTATATTCACACCCTTTAATTACTTTTTCTTCCTTAAACCTTAGCAAATTACATTTGTTTTCATATTTTTAATCTTTGGGGAAGACAGAAATTAAAAAATATAATTACAAATTCTTAGCAGAATTGACCTTTAAAATCTCTCTGCAGATTTTCAATTAAAAATAGTTTGTCATAAAAGGAAGTTAAAAAAAATGGAAAAAAATCAAATTATTTGGGAAAAAATTAAAGTTGACATTAATAGAGAATCACCAACAGAAATGCAAAGTATTTTATTAAAAAATTATAAAGAGATCTTTGCTGATGGCATCTTAATTGTCAAGGTAAAAGTTTCATGCAGGTGTCAAACAGGAATCAGTAATTCCGTGGGAATCAAACCCACGCAACCACTTCGAGAGTTCCCCACGTGATTCTTCACTGCCTTGACCATAGTTGGAGAACTCAGATTAGATGCCAGATTGTCCCAGGTATTGGGTTGCAGTATTGGAAAGGACAGAGGTAACGTGGAGTTACATTTGAGTGGAGTACCTGCAATGTATAACAAGTTAAATCATTTACATTCTGGTCCTCCACACCCTGCCCCAGGTCTTCACAGACTCACAAAACTCAGACCGCCTTGTAGGCATTCTAGTGGAGCTTCTCACAGGGTAGGAAACCTCTCTATGCTGCCCATGTTTGAACCCCCTCCTCTGGGTAGGCTCTGGCAATGCCATGTTTCTGATAAAGCCAGATGATCTCTCACCGGAGGTTCAGCAGATGGCATCAACAGGGCCCTAGGGTCCTAGCCACCACCAGGGTTCCTCCACGTTACAGTGCAGCCTTTTGCTGGCCACTGCACGGTGTTAACCTGGCACACAGCTGCATCACCTGCAAACCCTGGGCGCTTACAACATAAACTGCTTCCGAACCAGTCCCTCACATCCTGTGCTTGTGTGCTGGATTTATTGACCCTAAGTATAATACTGTTCTGCATTAAGCTCCTTTCCATTTCACTGTGGCTAAAATTGGCTCATGTTCCAGCTTCTTTTGACCTTTATTAGTCTTGTTTTTTTTTAATATAAACACTTTGATTACTTCATATGTAAACAACATCTGAGTATTTTTTGCATTCTGAGTATTTTTTGCAATTTTAAGCATTAAAACATGTTTTATAAATTGCGTGCATGAATTCTGATCAAAATACCATAGTCGCAGAACTAGGGAAATCATTCCTAAAATTCATTTGGAACCAGAAAAGACCTAGAGTAGCAAACACTATCCTGAGCAACAAAGGCAAGGCAGGAGACAACACAATCCATGATTTGAAATCACACTACAAAGCTACTGTGATAAAATCAGCATGGTACTGGCCAAAAACTAGCAAACAAACAAAGAAAAAAACGGACCTGAGGAACAGTGGAACAAATTAGAAGATGCAGACACAACTCCAGATATGCTCAGCTACCTTATCTTTGATAAAGAGGCCAAACATTTTTGCTGAAAGAGAGACAGCCTCTTTAATAAATGGTGCTGGAAAAACTGGCTCTCTACAAGCCAAAGAATAAACCTAGACTCATGTCTATCACCATGTACTAAACTAAAGTCAAAAGGAATAATAGATCTAAATATTAAAGCTGAAACACTAAATTTACTGGAAGAAAAAGTATGTAGAAATGTTGAAGACATAGGTACAGGTAGAGAGTTCATGAACAAAACCCAGACTGCACAGGAAATACTTCATAGAATCAACAACTTGAATCTCATCTTATTAAAAAGCGTTTGCACTGGAAAAGAAATCAACAACAAAGTGAGAAGACAGCTGAAGGACTGGGGAAACATTTCAGTCAATTGTCCCTGAGATAATAAGACTTCCGTCTAGAACATACAAACAATGGAAAAATATCAAGGTCCGAAGTTCAACAACGCAATCCAAAAATGGGCATCTGAGATGAATATATACACTTCTCAGATGAAGAAATGCAAATGACAAATAAATATATGAGAAAATGTTCAACATCACTAGCACTTGTATTTGAGAAATGCAAATTAAAACAACTCTGAGATTCCATCTCAGTGGAAAGAATGGCTGGCATCAAGAAATAAACCAATAACAAATGCTGGAAGGGCTGTAGGGAGAAAGGAACCCTTCTCCACTGTTGAGTGTAGACTGATACATCCACTGTTGAAATCAGTGTGGAGATTCCTCAAAAAACTAGGATTAGAGTTCCCTTCCCACCAGCTATTCCCCCTTTGTGTATTTCCCAGAAGAATTTAAAAAAGCATACTATAGAGATATCTGTGCATCCATGCTCATAGCAGCATAATTTGTAATAGCTAAATCTTGGAAACAACCAAAATGCACATCAACCAAGGAATGGATTTAAAAGGTGTGATATTTTTATACAGTGGAGTACTACTCAGCCACAGAGAAAGATAAACGTGAAACTTGTGTGAGTGCAATTAGAGACCATACTCATAGTGCAATAAATCAACTCACATATATGAACATCATACTGTTTCCCTTGTGTGAGAAATGAAATGTGTAGATAAAATTTAAACTGCACAAAAGATATTGTGAAATAGGAAGAAATTGTTCAAAAGGAAAATGGAACTTTTGATGGGGATGGGAAAAGGAGAAAAAATGCAAGTTAGTTATACAGTTCATTAAAAAGGAAGGGTTGTACTAATACTGAATGCAGAAATTTCTTATGCCTGATTTTTATACCCTGAACAAATACTTTAAAGATAACAACATGTAGTGTTTTAAGTATTGTTATTCTCCTATTATTTTGGTGTAAAATTTTGTTTTACTTTTTCCCCATAAAATAAAAAACAATAACGTTCATATATTGTTAGTAAGCACCTTAAAACATACTATATACTTACAACAAGACTCAAGTAACAAATTAAACCATAGGTGATTTGTTTCCACTGATTTCTGGGCTGATCGCATTAAAGCGTTGCTCTGGTCTTGTTGTGCTGGTGTAGAGCCGTCCTAGGAACAGCGGCACGGTCAGCTCTGCTGTTTACCTGTGCGGTGTGGTTTTGCTCTGGGCATTATCTTGAATCCACTATTTCTTTGTGGGGTCTTTTTTTGTTTTTAAGCCAGCTGTTCCTTTTGGGAGGACTGGTCTAGTTAAACTAGATAATGCAATCCATAAATCCACTTCACAGAGCTCTCTAAAGAGCTGTGTACGGTCAGGCAGTGAAGAGCACAGATAGGAGAGACAAGCCTTCGGTTCTGGGGTGCTGGGGAAGCCCCGCCGCCTCCCGTGTCACCATGACACCGTCCTCTCCACTGCTGACCAGGTGACGCTGTCACTGTACTAAAATATGCGAAGCTCAGCTTCCTTTTTTAAAAGTTATAAACAGAAACAGCTCTAATACTGTCTGCTCACATCCTAAGGAACCATCTCAAACAGCTCTTGGGGGAGGGCTCACCCCATCTTCGTGGTTCTTAGGTCTGTAGTGTAACAGTTGTGTCCAGCATTCTTTGTCACCCCTGTTTTGGTAGCTCCCCGTAGGAGTTCATCCCAGTCACACCGAGTGCGCTGCAGGACTCGAAGTCAGAATTAAGATGAGTTCTTGGCATACTGGAGACCTCTCTTTAGATTGACATTAATCAATTCATTGTAGCTCTTGAGGTACAGTGTTTCTTAAACTAAATATAAATACGATTTGTTATGCTGCAACCTGCCCCTCCTTTTTCCATCGTGGCTACGTTGTCATCAGACAGATAACCAAATGTTTGATTCTGTACACACACATGGCGATGACAACTGCCACATAGTGGGCCCTCGTTCTGGACTGAGTACCCATCTCCTTACAAATGCTATTTCTATTGTTTCTTATGGGAAACCCATGAGGTGGACATTTTATTTCCTGTGTTACAAATTTGGAAACTGATATACAAGTGCGTAAAGTTGGAGTAACCCTAAGCAGGAAGTGAACAGACTTTCAACATTGGTATGTGCCATTAAAGAATGTATTTGGGTTTATCTCCCAGACAAGTCACAAGAGTAAGACAGATTTCCAGGATGCAAAAACATGGTTTTAAGCTGCTGCGTCCTCTGGGCAAATAACATTCTACTCCTTTTGGAAATTGGACATTTACAAATCTGCAAATGGTGCGTTCCTCTTGCCCTTGCTGCTCTGCCTAAGAAATCCGTGCCAGATTGTCCAGAGTTACACATGGCAGTTGCCAAGGGCTAGAGGCAGGAATCTGTGTGAAGTACCTCGGTGTCCTCCTACTGGACTCCCTCACATTGGACCTCATCTCCTGTTCACTGTTTGCTGGTTGAAGAATGATTCTAGGAAAGAGAACTGGTTTCTTTGTTTTCTATTACTGTGTTGCCACCTGTCCCAAACGAGGGTTTTCTGATCTTGGGAGTGGGAGAGTACAAACTTACCGATGTCGTGTTATTTTCTGAATATGTTAACTATGTCCAATTTTTCCTGTAAGTTTTCCAGTAAATGAAAAATTGAAAAAATGGTACAATGAATAGATTCTTCCCAACAACTTATATTCTTCAATGCTTACTATTTTTGCTTTCTCTGTGTATTTTTCTGAATTTAAAGATATTTAGACATTAAGACACAGTTTACAAATGAGTGAGTACTGCATCTCTTAAAGATAAGAATGTTATCCCTAAAGTAAGGGA